ATGGAGAAGTGAGCAGGAGGAGCAGTCTGGGGAGTGGGAGGAACACACTGGAGCATATTGAAACAGTCAACATGAACCATAATGAGGATCTGGTTTAGGATGGTGGCAGTGAGAATAGAATGAAATGAATAAAGAGATTCTGAATAAAGAGCCTCTGCGATTGGCCACCACCACTCATCTGTCAGTTTGCCATACTGTGGAGTGTTGCTGAGATGCTGGAAGCTATGCCACCAGTAATTCAAGTACCAGCAGGGTCACCTGTGAAGAACAGGTTTCAGTGGAGCTTCCAAACTAAGACAGACTAGGAAAAAGGACGTGGCCGGGTCCATTTCTTATGAATAGCAGGAAAACATCGTCTGATGTAGTGCTGGGGGATGAGCCTCTTAGGTTGGAAGGCACTCAAAATAGAACTGGGAAAGAGCTGCCTCCTCAAAGTAGAGTCTACCTTAATGACATAGATAGGCTAAAGCTTCCAGGACCTTCATTTGTTTATATGACATGGTTCAAAATGAGGAAAAACAACTGCAAAAATCCACTGATAATCAGAACATAGAACGTGCACAGTATGAATCTAGGAAAATTGGAAGCTGTCAAAAGTGAAAAGGAATACATGAAGATCAATATCCTAGGCACTGATGTGCTGAAATTTTGAATTGTACAATCATGTGGTCTACTGTGCTGGGAATGACAAGAGTAATGGTGTTGAATTCATCATCAAAAAGAACATTTCAAGATTTATCATGAAGTCCAGTGCTGTCAGTGATAGGATAATGTCCATAGGCCTGTAAGGAATACCAGTTAAAGAGACTGTCAAATTTACACACCAACCACTAAAGCCAAAGATGAAGAAATTGAAGATTTTTGCCAGCTTCTGCAGTGTGAAATTGACCAAACATGCATCAAGATGGATTGATAATTACTGGTGATTGGAATGTGAAAGTTGGAAGCAAAGAGGCAGCATGGGTAGTTGGAAAATATGGCCTTGGTAATAGAAAAACTATACAATATCGAATTATAGAATTTTGCAAGACCAATGGCTTATTCATTGTAAATACCTTTTTTTTAACAATATAAATGGCATTTATACATGTGGACCTTGCCATATGGAATATGTAGCAATCAAATTGATTACATCTGTGGAAAGAGATGATGGAGAAGCTTAGTATCTTCATTCAGAACAAGGCCAAGTCTGACTGTGGAACAAACCACCAATTGCACATACTTAAAAAAAAAAAAAAACCCCAAACCCACTGCCATCGAGTTGATTTCGACTCATAGCAACCCCTCCTTGGGTTTCCAAGGCAGTATCTCTACGGAAGTAGATTACCCAATCTTCCTTCTAAGGAGTGGTTGGTGGGTTTGAGCTGCCAGCCTTCTGGTTAGCAGTCAAATGCCTTAGGCACTACTTCACAGTTACACATGTACAAGTTTAAGTTGAAGCTGAAGAAAATAAAAGTCCACAAGAGCCCAGATACAACCTTGATTATATCCCACCTGAATTTAGAGACCATCTTAAGAACAGATTTGAAGCATTGAACATCAGTGACCAGAGAAGTTGTGGATGACATCATATATGAAGAAAGTAAAAGGTCATTTAAAAAAACAGCAAAGGAAGAAAAGACTAAAATGGATGTCAGAAGAGACTCTTGAATGGAGAGTTGCTAAAACAAATGGAAGAAATCTTCAGTAGAAGATTTCAAAGTGTAGCTCAAGAAGACAAAGTAAAGTATTATAATGAAATCTGCAAAGACCTGGAGTTAGGAAATAAAAAGCGAAGAACCCATTTGGTGTTTCTCAAGCTGAAAGAACTGAGGAGAAAATTTAAGCCTTGAATTGCAATATTGAAGGACTCTGCATTTGACTGCTAACTGAAAGGCTGGCAGTTCAGACCCACCAGTCACTCCATGGAAGGAAGGTTGGGCAGTACTTCTGTAGAGATACCACCTTGGAAACCCAAGAAGGGGTCACTGTGAGTCGGATCCAGCTCCACGGCAGTGAGTTTGGTGGGGTGTTTATTTATTTATTTATTTTTGGATGGCTATCGAACAATGCAGTAAGCATCAAAAGATTGAAAGAATATACAGAGTCGTTGTACCAAAAAGAATTGGTTGATGTTCAGCCATTTCAGGTGGTAACATATGATCAAGAACTGAAGGAAGAAGTTCAAGCTGCGCCGAAGGCACTGGTGAAAAACAAGGCTCCAGGAATTGACGGAATACCCATTGAGATGTTTCAACAAGCAGGTGCAGTGCTGGAGGTGCTTACTCATTTATGCCAAGAAATTTGGAAGACAGCTACTTGGGCAGCTGACTGGAAGAGATGTGTATTTGTGCCCATTCCAAGGAAAGCTGATGCCACAGAATGTGAAAATTACTGAACCATATCATTAATATCACACATAAGTAAAATCTTGCTGAAGGTAATTTAAAAATGGTTGCAGCAGTATATTGACAGGGAACTGCCAGAAATTCAAGCCAGATTCAGAAGAGGATGTGGAATGAGAGAGATTATTGTTGATGCCAGATGGATCTTGGCTGAAAGCAACGAATACCAGAAGGATGTTTACCTGTATTTTATTGACTGTGCAAAGGCATTGGACTGTGTGGATCATAACAAATTATGGATAGTATTGTGTAGAATGAGAATTTCACAACACTTCCCTGTGCTCATGAGAAACCTGTACATAGACCAAGAGGCAGTTGCTCGAACAGAACAAGGGGACACAGGTTTGTTTAAAATCAGGAAAAGTGTGCATCCAGCTGTATTCTTTCACCATTCTTTTTCAATCTGTATGTTGAGTAAATGATCCGAGAAGCTGGACCATATGAAGAACATGATATCAGGATTGGAGGAAGACCAATTAATGACACAACCTAGCTTGCTAAAAGTGAAGAGGACTTGAAGCATTTACTGATGAAGACATACCTTCAGTATGGATTATACCTCATCATAAAGAAAACAAAATCCTCACAACTGCACCAATAAGCGACATCATGATAAATAGAGAAAAGATTAAAGTTGTCAAGGCTTTCATTTTACTTAGATCCATAATTAACGCCCATGGAAGCAGCAGTCGAGAACTCAAACAATGTATTGGGCAAATCTGCTTCAAAAGACCGCTTTAAAGTGTTTAAGAGCAATGATGTCACTTTGAAAACTAAGATGTGCCTGACCAAGCCATGGAATTTTCAATAGCCTCATATGCAGAAAAATCAATCCATTTGAATTGTGGTCTTAGCAAAGAATTTTGAATGTACCATGGATCACCACAAGAATGAACATATCTGCCTTGGAGGAAATAAAGCCAGAATGCTCCTTAGAAATTAGAATGGCCACACTTCATCTCTCATACTTTGGTCATGCTGTTGGAAGGGAACAGTTCCAGGAGGAGGATGTCATGCTTGGTAAGGTAGAGAGTTGGCAAAGAAGGGGAAGGCCCTCAACAAGATGAATGGGCGTAGTGGCAGTGACAGTGGACTCAAGCATAGCCATGATTGTGAGGATGATGCAGAACCGGGCAGTGTTTCATTCTGTTGTGCATAGGATTACTGAGTTGGAACTAACTCGACAGCACCTAACAACAGCAGCAAGTTTATCCCCTGGTTGAAAGTGAGAGGAACAGCGAGTGGAATCATTGTGGATGATTCTCTGAAGTCAGATATAGGATCAAATCTAACCTACAACTTACCAGAAGTGTGATCTCTGAGCCTCAGTTTCATCATCTATAAAGTGAAGGTCATAATACCTAACTCAAAGTAGATAACACATTTAACGAGCCTGGACCCAGTAGAAAGGAGCTATGGTGTTGTGGTGGTTAAGGCATTTGGCTACTAACCAAAAGGTCAGTGGTTTCAACCCACTAGCTTCTCTGTGGAAGAAAGATAATGCAGTCTGCTTCTGTAATGATTTACGGCCTTAGAAACCCAGTGGGGGTCTCTGTGAGTAGGAATTGACTCCATGGCAGTGAGTTTGGTTTTTTGGATCCATGTTATGTAATCTTGAGAGGGTGAAAGTTTAGTCAATCATTGTGCTGAGGTTTTAAGCCAGGACGATTGTTGTTAGTTGCCATTGTCAGTTTTTACTGATCACACTCAATGTGCAGAGTAGAACTGCTCCATAAGGTTTTCAAGCCTTTGGCCTTTTGGAAGCAAATCACCAGGCCTGCCTTCTGAGGCACCTTTGGGTGGGTTCAAACCACCACCCTTTTGCAGTAGTCCAGTGCTTAAGCTTTTGCATCACCAGGGACTTTTCATATCTGCTACAAAATGTAATTAATACAGTAAGACTCGATCATTTTACACATTCAGATAATCTTCTCATTTCCCTTATACATATCCCTTCATGCTAAGTAAGCATTCTATGAAAGTTTAAAGATACTACTGTTGGTTTGTCTCATTCCTATTGCTGCTATGACAAATTACCACAAAATTAGTAACTTGAAACAATACAGATGTATTCTCTTACAGTTCTGGAAGTCAGAAGTCCAGAATTAGTTTCACTGAAGTAAAGTCAAGGTATTGGCAAGCCTGGCTTATTCCAGAAGTTTTTAGGGGAAAGTTGTTTCCTTGCATTTCTCATCTTCTGGTAGCTTCCTGCCTTCCGTGGCTTGTGGCCCTTCCCTTTATCTTCACAGCACATTAATCTCTGTTTCTGTCATCATATCACCTTTTTTTCTTTGTAGTCAGATCTTCTTCTGCCTCCCTCTGATAAGGACACTTTTGATTACATTTAGGGCCCATCTGGATAATCCAAAATAATCTATCTTAAAATCACACCTAATTTATTCACACTGCAAAATCCTTGCTATGTAAGGTAAATATTCACAGGTTCCAGGGAGTAGGGGCCATTGTTCAGTCTACCACAAGGTTACATGGAGTGTCTTATTTCAACAAGAATATTTACCCTTAGCAGACTTAATTTAATTATTCATAGTTTGGAATTAAAGCTTAACAATTCAAATTAAAACATAAAATGCTTGTTTTTATTGTGTTGAACAGATATTAAAATGTCTGATCATGGCAGTGAGACCTTAGCCACTGGAGAAAAAGCAGACATTACGGAGACGACCAGTAGTGATTACCTACCCGATAATGCAGAAGTGCAGTGTGATTCAGCTACAATTTTGAATCAGCCAACACCCGCTGACCCCAGAACAGATGTGCATGAAAATGCAGCTGTTCAGGGTGCAGAGACTGCTGATACCAGGCACCCTGAGCAGACCTTGGAGCCCCCCTTCAATGGAGAAGTGGCTGAGGACACACTTGCTGAGTGCGTGGACTCTGTCAGCCTTGAGGCAGATCCTGGATCTGAAATACCCCTGAAAGAACAGAATAATCCGGTAGGAGTGGTTTGTTCAATTCACTTCATCCTCAATTCTTCCTGATAGGAACTACATGCACAACTTTGTGCTAAATTCTTGTGGGTAGGGATTGGGGGTTCAAAATATAATATGCCATCATCTCTGTCATCAAAAATGTGTGTGTGGTGAGATAAGACATATGTAAGCATAATTTCTTATTATAATATTTGTATTTTGATAGTTGTATTATTATTCATCATAATGTTTTGTTGTTGTTGTTAGTGGCCATCAAGTCAGCTTCAACTCATGGTGACCTCATGTAAAATAGAATGAAACCTCCCCAGTCCTGAGCCATCTTCTGGATCACTGCCTTGTTTGAGCTTATTGTTGCAGCTATTGGGTCAATACATCTCATTGAGGGTTTCCCTCATTTTAATTGACTTTATACTTTACCAGACATGATGCTCTTTACTAGAGATTGGTCTTTCCTGTTGACATGTCCAAAGTAAGCAAGTTGAAGTCTTGCCATCCTTGCTTCTAAAGAACATTCTGATTGTAATTCTTCTCAGACTGATTTGTTCATTCTTGTGGCACTACACAGTACATTCAGCATTCTGTCCCATCACTACAACTTGAATGTACCACTTCTTTTGTCTTCCTTTTTTATCATACAACTTAACTACAATAATAACTCAAAAACCAAGCTCCTTGCCATTGAGTCCATTCTGACTCATGGTGACTGTATAAGACAGAGTAGAACAGCCCCATAGAGCTGCCAAGGCTGTAATCATTACAGAGAGAAGAGTCTTGATGGTGCATTGGTTAATTGCTCTGCTGCCATCCGATAGGTCAGCAGTTCAAACCTTCTCCTCTTCACAGGAGAAAGATGCGGCAGTCTGCTTCCATAAATACGTATGGCCTTGGATACTCTATTGAGTAGCTCTATTCTGTCCTGTTGTTGTTGTTAGGTGACATCAAGTCAACTCCAATTCATAGCGACCCTATGTATAACAGAACAAAATACTGCCTGGTCCTACACCAGCCTCATAGTCCTTGCTATACCTGAGCCCATTGTTACACCCACTGTGTCAATCCATCTCCTTGAGGGCCTTGCACTTTTTGGCTGACCCTCCACTGTGCCAAGCATGACATCCTTCTCCAGGGAATGATCCCTTCTGACAATATGACCAAAGTACGTGAGACAAAGTCTGGTCTTTCTTGCTTCCAAGGAGCATTCCGGCTGCACTTCTTCCAGGACAGATTTGTTAGTTCTTCTGGCAGTCTGTGGTGGTTTGAGAATTCTTCTCCAACACCACAACTCATAAAACATCAACTTGTCTTTGGTCTTCCTTATTCATTGTCCAGCTTTCACATGCATATGAGGCTATTAAAAATTCCATGGCTTGGGTTAAGTGCACTTTAGTCTTCAAAGAGACATCTTTGCTCTTCAGCACTTTAAAAAGGTCTTTTGCAGCACATTTGCCCAGTGCAATACATTGTCTGATTTATTTATTTATTTTAAATTTTTATTGTGATTTGGGTGACAGTTTACGGAGCAAATTCATTTTCCATACAGCAGTTCATGTACACTTTGTCTCATGACATTGACTACAATTTCCCACAGAGCAACAGCTCTCTTCCCACTTCCTCCCCATAGTTACTTCTTTCCTGTGTCCTTCCCTCCCCTGTACTCCTGCCCCCCAAGCTGTCTCCCTATGCATACACAGTCCTTCTATTCTCCCATGATTAATCTCTCCAAGAAGTGTGTCTACCTAATGTAAATGTTCAGCTCATATGCCTATCTTTTGTTTGGCTGGAAGCCACAAGAGTGGGTTCAATTCCAGACCTAAAGGGCAGCTAGGGGCCAGTCTCAGGGGTTCCACCAGGCTCTGTCAGACCAGCAAACCAGGTCCCCTTTTTTATGATTTTGAGTTTTGTTCCACATTGTTCTCCTACTGTATTCAGGATCTCCTACCTAGATCCCCCTCCAAGTGGTTGACAGTAGTAGCTGGGCACCATCTAGTTCTGGTCTCATAGTCATACAGGTTGAGGATCACATGATATACCAGTCCCTTGGGCTAATTATTTCCATACATCTTTGGTTTTCTTCATTCTTCTTTGCTCTAGATGAAAAGAGACCCATTGTTGCATCTAGATGGCCATTTGCAAGATTTTCAGATCCCAGTTGCTACTCACCAAAGTAGGATGTGAAACAGTGGTTTTGTGTAGTATGTTATGCCAATTGAGCTTGATGTCCCCTGCAACCATGGTCCCAAACCAACAGGTACAACTACTCGCTCCCTCCAGGTAGATGGCTATGGCCAAGAAGTGAGTACACCCTTGTTCCTTGTCAGTTCTACTATATAGCTGGGAATTTTTAGACAACATACAAATACACTTGTAGAAACATTGTCTTCCAACCCTATACGTGGTCATGGGCACACTCCCCCTGCATAGATACACCTAATTGTTCAGCCTGACCACCCATCTTTCCACCCATAGATCAATGTTTGCCTTCATTGACAGTGCAGTACTGTATGTGCAGAAGGGTTCATCTTTGTTGTCTGTACCTCCCATGTACCTCTCTATGTCTTCCTCTTCCTCAGTGCCACTGTGTTACATTTGGTGCCACATTTGGTACATTCCCCTTCCCTTCACCCAAATCAATACTTGTCTCTACTTATCTACCAGTATTCCCTCTCACCCCTGCTAACCAACAAATAAAATTTCCTTCCATATATTAACCTTTCCTTGCGTTGTCTGATTTCTTGACTGCTGCTTCCATTGATGGTGATTATGGAACCAAGTAATATGAAATTTTTGATAACTTCAGTCTTTTCTCTTTATCATCATGCTGCTTATTGGTCCAGTTGTAAAGATTTTCATTCTCTTTATGTTGAGGCATAATCCATGCTGCAGACTGTAGTCTTTAATCTTCATCAGTAAGTGCTTCAAGTCATCTTCACTTTCAGGAAGCAAGGTCATGTCGTCTGCATATCATAGGTTGTTAAAGAGTCTTCCTGTAATCCTGATGTCGCGTTTTTTTCATATAGTCCAGCTTCTCGGATTATTTGCCCAGCATACTGATTGAATAACTATGGTGAAAGGATACAACTGTAGTGCACTCCCTTCCTGATTTTGTTTGTTTATTTATTTATTTATATTGTGTTTTAGGTGCGAATTTACAGAGCTGAGTTTGTTTTACATTCAACATTTCATGTGCATTTGGTTTCACTCCCCAGTTGCCACCCCCAACACTAACCCACTCTTCTCCCCATCTCTTCCCAGTAACACCCCCTCATGCCCCCTTCCTGATTTTAAACCATGCAGTTTCCCCTTGTTCTGTTTGAACAACAGCTTCCTGATCTATGTACATGTTCCTCATGATCACAATTAAGTGTTCTAGAATTACCATTCTTCTCAATTTTATTCATAATTCGTTATGATCCACACAGTTGAATGCTTTTGCATAGTCAATATAACACAAGTAAACATCTTTCTGGTATTCTTTGCTTTGAACCAAAATCATCCTGACATCAGCAATGATGTCCCTCATCCCATGTCCTCTTCTGAATCCAGCTCACATTTCTGGAAGTTCCTGGTCAATATGCAGCTACAACCATTGTTGAATTATCTTCAGCAAAATTTTACTTGTGTATGATATTAATGATATTGTTTGATAATTTCTATGTTCTATTGGATCACCTTTTTTTGAAATGTGTACAGATATAGATCTCTTCCAGTTAGTTGACCAGGTAACTGTCTTCCAGTTTTCTTGGCATCGATGAATAAGTGTCTCCAGTGCAGCATCCATTGGTTGAAATATCTCAGTGGGTATTCCATCAATTCCTAGACCCTTGTTTTTGCCAGTTCCTTCAGTGCAGCTTCAACTTCTTCCTTCAGCACCCTGGTTCTTGTCCATATTCCACCTCCTGATATAGATGAACATCAACCAGTTCTTTTTGGTATCGTGATTCTATGTATTCCTTCTGTCTTCTTCTGATGTTTACTGCATCTTTCAATATTTTGCCCATAGAATCTTTCAGTATTGCAACTCAAGGCTTGAATTTTATCTTGTTCTTTCAGCGTAAGAAATGCTGAGTATGTTCTTCCCTTTTGATTTTCTAACTCCAGGTCTTTGCCCATTTTATTATAATAATTGACTTTATCTTTTCCAGCTACTCTTAGAAATCTATTCAGCTCTTTTATCTTGTCATTTTTACCATTTGCTTTAGCTACCTTCCATTCAAGAGCAAGTTTCAGAGTCTCTTCTGACATCCTTTTCAGTGTTTTCTTCCTTTCCTGTCTTTTTAATGCCCTTTTGCTTTCTTCATATATGATATTCTTGGTGTCATCCCACAGTTTGTCTGGTGTTCAGTCATTGCTGTTCAGTGCATCAAATCTGTTTTTCAGATGGTCTCTAAATTCAGGTGGGATATAATCAAGGTTGTATTTTGGCTCTCATGAACTTGTTTTAATTGTTTTCAGCTTCAACTTAAACTTGTATATGAGCTGTTGAGGGAGCTCTGGTAGCATAGTACCTAAGGCACTTGACTGCTAACCAGAAGGCTGGCAGTTCAAACCCACCAGCCACTCCTCGGAAGGAAGGTTGGGCAATCCTACTTCCGTAGTGATACAGCCTTGGAAACCCAAGGAGGTGTCGCTATGAGTCGGGGCCGACTCGAAGGCAAATAACAACAACAACAACAACAACAATGAGCTGTTGATGGTCTGTTCCACAGTCAGCTGCTGGCCTTGTTTTAGCTGAAGATATTGCGCTTCTCCATCTCTTTCCATGGATGTAGTCGATCTGATTCTTGTGTATTCCATCTGGAAAGGTCCATATGTATAGCCACCATTTATATAGTTAAAAAAGGTATCTGCAATGAATAAGTCATTGGTCTTGCAAAATTCTATTATGCGATCTCTGGTGTCATTTCTATCACCATGGCCATACTTTCCGACTACTGGTGATTCTTCTTTGTTTCCAACTTTCACATTCCAATCACTGGTAATGATCAACACATCTTTGCATGTTT